TGCAATAACTTTTCGGGCAGCTGGAGATGTTCTCTGTGCTCTTAATGCATCAACGGGTAAGCTTCAATCCTTGTGGGCTCTTTGAACTCGACCTGTCAGTCGTGGTGTCTGTGAGTATATGACTAAAGTTCGTTGTATCTCTGGATGCAAGTATTCGAGATGATTACCGGATACCTGTCCATAGATAATTCACAAATACGTTCTCTTTCCTGTTTCAGTTACTTGGGGCAGTGACAACATACTTGGTGGTACTCTTGCAAATCAGAACGCCTTCTTAGACCGATTACTATTATATTATAGCAAATCAAAATGCTCCTTAAAGTGTGTGAATAAACATTAATTTCCTACCATTCCCATGCACGACTCAGACACGAACAGATTCTGTACCCTACATCCCTGTTTGTAGCGACACGGAGTGTGTACCGTACCGAACATAACCCAACAAAAACTTATGTTGACCTAATCTGTCATGTCCCGTTTTTACTCGCGAGATCGAAATGCAAAAAGATGATTAATTCCCACCCCCCACGCCGTATTTGTAGGCAACCTAACGCACGCAATAGCGTAGATACCCCATGGCTCAAGCCCCTCCGTACTTCCCTTGTAACGTGGCGCCACCTGGCGGAAGGGACAGCACCCAAGAGGTTGTCCAGTTTAGTGCGGATCCGCACGGATTCCGCGGAACTTGCGTCCGCACGGATCCGCATAGCGGGAGAGGAGGGGAGGGCTTGAAATAAACGTTTTTCTACTCAGTAACACTACAGAAATAGGTTGGCATACACATATTTTTGATAAGCGGGCAGCAATGATCAATATGCTGTGAAAATATCGCGTCAGTAATACGAAGGTGAGGTTAGCGACCGCCATTTCGGCCGCTCGCCGCGCCGCCGGCTGGGCGGAGCGTGTGCTAAACTAAAATTGGTTTCTTGGATACTTAACTCCAGCAAAGTACATCGACCCTTACATCAAAATGAAGGTGACAGTTTAAGGATTACAACGGTATAATCCTTTTTGAAATTAAAGGCCTTGTACACGATCAAAGCCCCATCGCAAAATAGGCTGTTTTCCGAGATCACAATAGCTTTTTCAACGCCTATTTTCTCATGCAAGGAGGCGAGTTATCAATCTACATGAAGCGAGCCGATTTTCCGCCAGACCTTAAACTTTACATTGCTTTTTACCGCACTTTGATACGACTTCTAGTTTTCGAGAACGAAGCTCATATGTACACGCATGTCGGCCCGGGGCTGGACGCTATGGGCCGCGCGCCCGGCTCGACATGCATGTACAAATGACAGAATATTGATCATTTCTGCCCTCTTATCAAAAATATGTGTATGCCAACTTATTTCTGTAGTGTTACTAAGTAGAAAAACGTTTATTTCAAGACCTCCCCTCCTCTCCCGATATGCGGATCCGTGCGGACGCAAGTTCCGCGGAATCCGTGCGGATCCGCGCCGGATCCGCACTAAACTGGACAACCTCCAAGTCATAAACATAACCAAACAAATCCTCTCAGTGCCGACTCAATGCTGAGCAGCGTATTTAATCTTTATTCCGATTTTAATTCCTTTTCTTGATAAATTTGTTTGTAGACATACATTACATATTTAATGTAAAATGAAAGGAACAATTCAAAGAGTTGTGAAAGCCAGTGTTGAAGGTATGTTTATTTACTATCTCCTATCCACACATAGCAGAAGATATTTTTTTGTTGCATATTAAATGAAAAGTACGCTTTTTGATATCATTAATATTTCCTTCCTTTGGTTACTTACTAATATTTTAGACTCTGTAAACTCTTGCTTTATACCTACTAATAATCTAAATTATTTTATTTTCTGTCTACGCAGTCGATGGACACCTCATTTCATCAATTGGTCGAGGAATTTGTGTGCTTGTAGGAATTCATAAAAATGACACACAAAAGGATAAGGAATACCTGTAAGTACATTATTGCAGAACTTGTTTTGAACCTTTGGCCGAGAAATGTAATTTGTTCACAAAATCCTTGGTGTGCTTTTCTTTTACAGAGCTCGTAAGATATTAAGCATTAGATTATGGGAAGACGAAAATGGACGGAAATGGTCTCGTAGTGTTACTGATATGCAGTATGAAGTATTGTGTGTCTCCCAATTCACACTCTATTATTATCTTAAAGGAAATAAGCCAGATTTTAGAGCAGCAATGCCTGGAGCACAATCTCAAGAATTTTATAATTCTTTTTTGGATATACTCAAAAAACTCTATGATCCTAATAAAATTAAAGGTAATTTCTGTATTTCATCTCTCAATTATGTCAAGTACTTCATTTACTAAGGCAAACTAATTTCACTGATCCTTTTTCAGATGGACAATTTGGTGCCATGATGCAAGTTAGTATTCAAAATGATGGTCCAGTTACTCTTGATATTGAGTCCCCCACGGTCCGACAGTTTTTGGAGGAAGAAAACAGAGTTAAACTAGAAAAAAAAACTGAAGAGACTACCTCTCAGGCTCTGGGGGACCTAAATGGATAGCTATTTTGCAATAAATTAGATACCAATCCAATCTGTGTCATTACTTGTATTACATATTAAGGTTGTGACTATAATGTTGCTGTAGAAATGTCCGTTTTGTTTGTTTGTGAGGGATTCAGGATAAGAGAACCACACTTATAAGATTGAAAACATCATCTATTTAACCTCTTATAAACACATTCACACATACGAAATCTGGTGGGATTCATAGTTTCAACTTATGAAAATGGAAAGTAATTCAGCACAGTCTACATAATAGAATTAATTAACACGATAGAACAAGCTTGTTTGAAATAATCAGGGAAGAAGAGGAAATACGGTTGCAAGCAGTTTCGTTGTTTAGAAAAGATTTCTTTATCTCAACGTGCTTCAGCAAATACACATTAATCTAAATTTACAAGCAATATTGTGAGCTGCCAATCATATTGGGCACAGGCAACATTTATACAATGAATGAACAAGAGCACAGAGATCTTGCTAAAGCCACCTGAAGGCATTGTGGGCCAGCATAAAAATAGTACACTTACAAAAAAATA